TATATATATATATATATATACGGTGATTATCATTTGAATATTTATGACGTTTTTTGTATTATCAATTAATCATTTAATTAGATATCTTTTTGCACTTTCAAAATTAATTATGACACTCGTTATAACTTTCTTATGATATTTTATATCGCCTTGTCTCTGCAAAAGGAAATTCAAAAAAGAGACGGTTTTGCTTACGTTCTCCTGTCATGGTGTGCACTTAAGTTACTTTTTACCTTGCAAAGTTACGCTTCGAGAGTAGTGCGCGTAACCAGCTGCTTAAAATCGGTCGCAGTGTTACATATATCAACTTGGCCGCGATTGTTGCAATTTCGCGAGAATTTACGTCGCACGGGATCTAAAATTTGCCGCTCAATGGCCATGGCGATTCATTGGTGTAAATATCTCCCGCCCATCGTTCGCCCATGTATAATTAGAATCCTTAATACCCCGCATTAACAAATTTATTCGCTTCGTGAGTACGTTTATCATATGATCGCCTTTGCCATCGTGATTTCGATAAACTTGTAATCGAATTTGCACAAGTGATTTTCTCACCTCTGTGAACTTGGCACCTGACTTTTAATAAATTAAATTTTCAATAAAAAAAAGATGTTGGTATTTTATTCGTAGTTATTTGTCGTAATAACAATTTTGTTTGTATCGCAGTGTTGCAACTGTTAACAAAAATATTTGGAAAACAGCTGTCACCTTTGCTGTCAAAAAAATCATTATTTATCTTGATTCATAGTCATAGTTTAGTAGTTGTTCGTAATGATCTTTCCGTCATTTCTAGTTGAATTTCACAAAGATAATTTTCTCTTCAATGATCGCATTATGTAGACGAGATACAAATGATAAATTTGAAATTAGAAAAGTGTAAGTGACAGTAGCATTAAAATCGATAATATTAGAAAAAGGACAAGATTATTCTTTGCTGCCGCTGCTGCTGCTGCTGCTGCTGCTGCTGCTGCTAAGAAGCTACATCGAAGGATACAAATTTAATCTGTGATATTACGATGGCGAAAGTAACGGAGGAATCTACTGGACTATTTGCGATTTTCCGGCGTCCGTGATTATAATTGGCCTCCTAGATACCCCGGCCAATTATAGAATCGGCCGCCACGCTTTCGCGCGATATTTACGCCGCGAGTCCATCGCACTCCTTGGATCTTCAAGTGCAAGCACTTACACTTTTAGCCGACAAACTGACCGGCTCTAATAATAATTTTCCGATGTGTTCTCGGCCGAGCGTAAATACTGTGAATTTCTACGCCGCGCGCGCAAAGCAGCGCGAGGTCTATTCAAATGTTGGCGCTCTCTACAAATTTACTTATCTAGAAGATGTATGTCGATGTTCGAAGAAATTAATATTTATAGGAAATATTTTATAGGAAGATTTACAGATAAATTCATTTTTTATAACTACAAATTTTTCCACAAATTCTTTTTACATCCTCGTATTAATGAAATTATGAAAAAATTCGCAATCGTTCAGTTTTGACGTTGAAGTTTGTTCGGATGGATAAAATTTATATTTCAAGCTATTCAGAATAAGTCAGAATAAGTCAGTTTCTGAATAAGTCAGAAATAATCCTCGTAAATTTTTCAGTTTCCAAAGCCATTTTGTTCAAGTCTCCAATGGAGACATTTTATTTTGTTTTTATTTGTTTTTTACGAGAGCCTATTCTCTTATCGATTGTTGTGATAAATTTTGATCCGCTTTATATACGTGCCAGATTTCGCACGTAATCAATTTATATATCACTCTGATGTTGGAGCCTCTAAAGGCTCATTTCTCCTAAAAGTTACTACGAATCGCTTTGATTTATCTTGATTAATTATTTGGTCGCGCGTAAAAACTAATTGAGGATTTAACAAGCTAATTCTCCTTACTTGATTGGCACGAGGGAACGAAGCCTTATGACGTGTATGTGGTTCTTCAGGAGAGTCATCAATTTCTCACATTCCTCTCTTTGGGGCTCAAAGTAGCTCGCTTCCAAAGTTTCCAAATATTCGGCTAAGTGGCGTTCGCAATATAATCGCCGCCATGAGCCACCATGCTCGCTCGGATTGTTGTGTTTCCACCTGCACAACGGGCATTAAATTGTACTCGCATGCACAAACAAACTTGGATAAATGATTTTAATATCAATTAAATTATTTGAAGAGAATCCATTGGGTTGAGAAAATTGCAGTTTGCGTGAAATCGTTCGAATTCGAATATTTTAACGAGTAAATACCAGAATAAAGATGCTCTTGCATGTTAAATAAAGTCGGAAATTAAAACGGAATTAAAGATTAAAGTGTATCTCTATAAGTCAACTAATTAAAGAGATTAAAATAGGATCAGAATAAAATTTAAAATAGTTTTAATTTAAAATATAATTATAATAGTTAATTAACGTTAATGAAATCGATTATTTGGCCAAATTAATCTGTAATTTTGACACATAAAGTTCCCAAGAGCATTCAACTACATTACATACACCATACATCTAATAATAGCTCATATAATCAGAGACAAGGAGATTGACAAGCGCTCTATCTTACCTGTCCTTGGCCGCGCGTTCCCAATAGAAGTCATCCTCGATTTTCGATATCGTCAACTCGAACGGCAGATCGGTGGGCAGTGTTTCCACCAGTATGTCCCTGTCTACGCACGTCGGCAGATCCTCCAGAACGGGATGATCCCTCCACGTCGAGACTACGGTGCGAAGAGCGAGAATCTTTAAATCGGGGATTACGTCGTCGTCCCATGAGGCATCTTCCGCTCGCAGCGTCCTTCCTTGCTCCTGCGGTAACTGCGAGGTCTCCGGCGAGCACCTGCGAGCCAATTTGCCAGGATAAAAGCGTGTGTCGCTGGATGGAGCTAAAAACCGATATTATTTGCGATATCCAAAATGCGAAAATGTTGATTTTGGGGGGAGTCACGTGCCGCGACTCTTCGCGGATGTATCTCGCGTCGCCGAGATTGAGCTGCTTTATGAGATAAACCTTCCACCTTTTGCTCTAGGGAAACTCAATTTGCGTATATATATATATATATATATATATATATATATATAGT